GGAGGACGTGCCTTGTAGTGAGAGTAAAGAGGCTCAATTGGTTTTATTTATTGAAGAACAGGTTGAAAGGTGACTTGATCATGGTTTACAAGAGGAATGGAATTCTGAGGGTAGACAGTTCTTTAATCTATCAGACAAAAGCTTAACAGGACCCAGGGACTGAAAACTGAAGCTAGACAACTTCAGACTAGAAACACGATGCGTGTTTTTACATTGAGGTCAATTAACCACTGAAACAATTTACCTAGGGACATTGTGGATTTTTCCATCACTGGTAGTCTTTCTGTGAATCTATGAAGTCAGTGGTGTCACGCTGTCTGGAGTGGCTCACAGCTCTGAGTGCCACCATCAAGGCAGACTGTCAGAAAACGGGCAGACACTCCACACTGGTAGTGGGTTCTATAATTAGATTTGACCAAGCCAGTAACGAATGTGAACTCCTGGATCAGTATACCAGTCTTATCATGGAGTCATAGACAGTCCCCTGAGACTCTCCAGTCTATCTTGCCACCCAGACAAACTGGACTTTGTGATAATGGTCACTTAAACCGAAAACCACATCACATCTGGTTGCTCCCAGTCTCAAGAGACCAATCAGTTACCCTAGACAAGTGGTCCTCAAACTTTTGCACTGGTGACACATAGCAAGCCGCTGAGTGTGACCCCCCCCACTTATAAATTAAAAAACACGTTTTTATATATTTAACACCATTATAAATGCTGGTGGCAAAGCAGGGTTTGGGGTGGAGGCTGACAGCTTGCAACCCCCCCTTGTAATAACCTCCTGACCTCCTAAGGGGTCCTGACCCCCAGTTTGAGAACCACTGCCCTAGATCAATTGGTACTCTAGATCTTACACCAAAGACAACCCTGGTAGCCAATTCTATAGTAAACTAGCTAAAGGCTTATTCGCTAAGAAAAGGAAATGAGAGTTATTGAGAGGTTAAAGCAGATAAAATGTATGCACAAATGAATCACAGTTTTTAATTCCAAATGGTGGCAGTGATGTCATAAACTGCCAGTTTCCCAAAAGCCTTCTCAGGGTACCCAGATTGTCTTTGGGGACCTCGGCTTTTATCTGGTACACTTCTCTGTCAGAGTCCAAACAGTCCAGAGATGAAGGATCTTTCCCTGAATCCATACTTATAGCTTCTTCTCACAGAAAACAAGCTGACCGTGTCACTACCCACATGGGCTTTTCCTTTGATGACTGTGAGTGAGAAATACATTTAGAGTCTTTAACCTCCGGGCATCACACATAATGACCACTTGCTTTGAAATTAGCACTTTTCTGTTCAAGTTCCTCATTTGCATTCCACAAAGCCTCCTTTGCGTTTTAGGGCTTGTTCGATGGGTTATTTAGTTACAGGGGTACACAGAATGGAAATGTTTGCTCCCACATTATAGCAGGATACAGATAAGTGAAAACAATGCAAGTAACATCCCACTAGTTTTCATGCGTTTAAACACCAAATACACTCGTATACATTTAATAATCACTTGGATCTATACTAATACACAAGGAATAGGCTTTGGGCTCTGGCATGAGTTGGCACCTGGTCTGCCAGCGTCACAAACGGGACGTAAGCACATGTTTGATGTTAAGCATTTGCTGGAGGGCTGTCCTGAATAGAGCTGCTTTCCTGAGTTGGGGTCTATGTAATTTAAGGATGCTGTAGTGCAGACTCTAACTACCAAGCATAGTGCATAATATCGTGAACTTCCCCCTTCAATAGCATTATTCACTGTCCAATGCACAATGTTTCTGAGTAAGTGGTTGTACGATTCAGCCCGATTAGTTTCTGTTGCTGTCAGGGTGGCATCGGGCACAAGCTTTCTACTCAGTGTACGAACAACAAGCTGCAGACTGTCAACAGCTGAGACTTGTAGACATTTGCTCATGTGAGGGGTTTCATTTTAAGCCTTATTAAATGATACACCATGCAGGGGTTCTGAAGATTGTGGGCTAGAGTTTCAAGACAGAACTCAAAGATAAAGAGAATTTGTATCCTCGGTCCATTAATATATATATATATGTAAAACTTCCCACAACAGGAAAGTCCCACAAGAATATTGTAGGTAACTGTCATCGCTAAGTCATCATGCCCTTTTATTTAGTATTTTTGTCCTTCCTAAGAAAAATATAAGACTCCTTAAAGTATGAAATAGTGACTAAGTTGAGGGATGAGGAAGTATTGAACTTGCCGAGCTTGGCCATAGATTATCCCAGAGCCTACGGCAAAATTTTGCCCTTTTGCTGGCTGAATTCAATAGCCTCTTCTAAATGATCCTTTTCTTCCCATAGGAGGCTGCACTGCACCAGGAATTGCATCCACATGCATCTCTTTGTCTCTTTCATGCTAAGAGCTGCCAGCATCTTTATCAAGGACAAAGTTGTGCATACGCACATAGGCGTCAAAGAACTGGACTCTCTGCTGATGAGTGACCTCCGGAGCACTGTAGTGGCACCTGCAATTGACAAGTCACAATACGTAAGCACTGACCCTCAGGGAAAACAGTCAGCCTGCTAGTGAACTGTTCTCTGAGTTGTTATGCCCCTTTAGGACAATCTGTATTCCTTCCAGAGTGGCGAGGTATTACTGTGGTGAATCAGGATAAAATATCAAGCTGATCCTGAGGATCGGGCTCTTGAAAATTCAGTATGCAGTGGGCCAAAGTCTCATTTTCTTAAAGTGACTTAAGATCCCGAGGCCTGGCTCCTCAAAGGTATTGATGTCAGTGGAAGTTGGGGGCCTATGAGAATCTGGGCCTCACTGACTGTCAGTGAGACTCTGGCTCCTAGGGCCAGATTTTTAAAGGTCTTTAGGTGCTGAAAGGTGAAGATAGGCGCCTGGTGGGATTTTCAAAAGTACATAGGTACCAGTGGGAATTAGGTGCTGAGGCACGTCTGAAAATCCCACTAGGCCCCTATCTTCATCTTTAGGTGCCTAAATACCTTTAAAATCTTCACTTAAGTGCTTGACACTTTTAAAAATGGGACTTGGATTCCTAAGTCACTTAAGCCAGTGGCTGTCAACCTTTCCAGACTTCTGTGCCCCTTTCAGGAGTCTGATTTGTTTTGCATATCCCCAAGTTTTACCTCCCTTAGAAACTTACAAAATCAGATCTAAAAATACAGAAATGTCACAGCACACTCTCATTTTTACCATATCATTATCAAATAAACCAATTGGAATATAAATATCAGACTTACATTTCAGTGTATAGAGCAGTATTAAACAAGTCACTGCCTATATGAAATTTTACTGACTTTGCTAATGCCTTTTATGTAGCCTGTTATAAAACTAGGCAAATATCTAGACGAGTTAATGTACCCCAGAGACCTCCGCCTACCCCCAGGCGTATACGTATCCCTGGTTGAGAACCTCTGACTGAAGCACCTTTGAAAATTGTTCCCCAGATTTCAATACTTGTCTGCCCGTTTCTCTTGTGAATCCTTCTCTTTGTTAATGGGATCAGACTGACTCACATTTGTTTGGGTCACCCTGGCTGGCCTCCTTGCAAAATCTGAGCCACTTGTCATTCTCTGCTCGAGTGAGACCCAGGACTGCATTAGCAGGTCATAATGAAGCTGCCCTAACAGGAGCGTGGGTGTGGGAAGCTTGTACAGCTCTCTCCCCCACAATAGCTGTCTCAGAGGGATGCTGTTTGTTCTTCACTTTCACAAGCACTAATGCATCCACAAATGGTCCTTACGAAGCAAGGAGAGCTGTTGACTTAGCACAGCATCAAGTCTTTGTGTAAAGGATGGCCTTGCTGCCTTTAATACGTCTTATTTACAGAGATCTGAAAAGTTGTCAGAATAGGAGCCATGTGCAATGGGTTTAGTAGCATAATGGTGATTCTTGGATGGTTGCTGTATCCAGGAATGGTAACCCATTAGCTTTCTGTTTGGGTTCCTTGACAGGTGGGGTGCAAGATTGCGGTTGTGATGTTTATTTACTTCTTGGCCACCAACTACTATTGGATCCTGGTTGAAGGCCTCTACCTGCACAGCCTAATCTTTGTGGCTTTCTTTTCGGATACCAAATACCTGTGGGGCTTCACCTTGATAGGCTGGGGTAAGGTATATCGGACTCTTCTGTTCCTTGCATCTTTTCATCAGGCTTCTCAGAGGGAGAGGATTCTGCTATTTTACTATCCTCGTTGCTCTGTTTCATCACATGAGACACAAACAAACAAAAGAAGACAGGAAGGACCTATGTCCAGCAATAATATATTGTCACCAGTAGTTACAGGAAGTTGATTGTGTTGGGCACCACCGGTGAACTCCATCAGGAGGCACAGCTCTGCCACTGACTTCCTGTATAACCATAGGCAAGTCACTTAACTCCGCCATCTCCTGACGATGAAATGTGGATAATAATGAGGACTCCCTACCTCCAGGGTTGTTGTGAGGGCAAAGCAAATATGTGCTTAATTGCAAGCTAAACATAGTGTGGTGGGGAGCACCTCAGAAAAGCCTCTATATAAATTAAAATAAGAGATAATGGGTCCTCTCCATACTCCAGAGAGAGGTGAATCTCCTGTCCGCAGATTCTTCAGCCATTACATGTGTGTTTGTTCATGTTGTTAGCTCATTTCATATATCAGTCCATTGGCCATTATTATCTATTCAAGAAGGATCTATGAATTTGCAGAGATTAAGCCAAATTCCACTGAGTCCCATCAGTGTAAATCTGCTCCTGTCAATGGTGTTACTCCAGATTTAAACCAGAACTGGGGATTGACCACAAGCCTCAGAAGAGAAATGGCAGGAGGTTACTTACTGCACTGGGTCTCTTCAACAGCCATCCTCAGGTTGAACTTCTTATGCTAGGATTTGCGTTCTCATAGCCTTGCATTACTCATAGACTTTAAAGCCAGACGGGACCATTGTGATCATCTAGTCTGACCTCCTGCACGTCGCAAGCCATGAAATCTCACCCACCTACTCTTGTAATAGGCCCATAACCTGTGTCTGTGTTATTGTCGTCCTCAATTCATCATTTAAAGACTTCAAGGTACAGCGAATTCACCATTTATTCTAGTTCATTCCATCAAGTGACCCATTCTACATGCTGCAGAGGAAGGTGAAATTCCCCCTCTGCCCCCAGAGTCTGTCAGTCTGACCTGGAGTAAAATCCCGACCCCAAATATGGCGATCAGTTAGACCCCAAGCCTGTCGGCAAGACCCACCAGCCAGACACCTGGGAAAGAATTCTCTGTAGTAACACAGAACTCTCCCCAGCTTGTGTCCCATCTCTGGCCACTGGAGATATTTGCTAATAGCAGTCACAGATGGGACATGTGCCATTGTAAGCAGTCTCATCATACCATCCCCTCTATAAACAGTCACTGCAGTTAAGACCCCTTGTCTGGTTCCTTTTACTTTCACGGTGAAGTGTGTTCTCTGGTCTGTAAAGAGATCTGAGGTTAACTTCATTTTGTATTTCAGTTTTTTTAACTTTTCTGAAATGGGGGGAAATGAAGTTAACGCTGGTGAAATTGACAGAGGGGTTGAGGGCGGGGCTCTGAAATGGGAATTCATGAAGGAGAAAAAAGGATATTTAGCAGGCTGAAACCTGTGTTCTCCACAGCTGATCCAAGCCTAAACAGCTCCCCCTTCCTTGTCTTTCTAGTTCTGGGCTCAACTCAGAACCGAACAGTGAAGGTCATTAATCTTTTGGAACAGTTTATCTAGTGATGATGTGGATTTTCCAGTACTTGCAGACTCTATCTTTCTATTAGCTGTACGATAGCTCAACCAGACGTTATGGGCTGGATGCAGAAATTACTGGGTGAGGTTCCCTGGCCTCTGTTATGCAGATGGACCACAGTGGTCCCTTCTGGCCTTTAAAAATCTATGAATCTATGAATTGTGTTGCTTGATGGTTCACCGCTGACATTTCATCCCTGATGCTAAGTGGTGGTTCTGGCATAAGACACTGTAAATGGAGGCTTCCCTGTAACAAGAACTGCTAGGGGAATGGTATCTGCAGGGAATAGATAAATAAGCACTACAATGTGAGACAGGTGCAATAAGGTGTCTTTGATTAAATGTTTGCAGTGCGGTAACGTGGCTCTAAGGCTTCTCTTTTCATACCAAAGAGAACTGAAGGAGAGAGAAAGAGAGAGAGAGACCTTGTTTATACACAGGACCGTTCTTTACTGTCTTCTCAACATCTCCAGGAGAAGTAACTCACTCCATGCTCCTCAGTGGGTCAGCAGTAGTGGGCCTCAAGCCTTTACTCCCTGAGCTAAAAGATCCAGCTCTGTTAGCCAAGGCTGTCGCAGGCTCATCGATGTCTAGATATGGCCCAGCCACCACTACAGGGGACAGGGCATTACATTGAATGGGTGGGTGTTGCATAACATTCTCCCAGCATTAGTGTTTCTCTCCGTACCCTGGTAGCTCTGCCTCCGATAAGAAATCATTTCACCCACTTCATTTCTGTGCTCAAGGGAGGCAGCTTAGTCCGTGCACTTAGATTGGGGTGTGTCTCAGGATTTGCGGGACAGGGGAATAGAAACGAAATGTTTCTCTGGAGATGCAGGTAGTGTCTGCTTTGAAGAGGTTTTCAATCCATCTAGCTAGCTCGATGTTTATATGGCCCTGCATCAGCATGGTATCTGAGTTCCTATGTGAGGACCTGATCCAAAGCCCGCTAAAGTCTATGTAAAGACTGGATCAAATCCTTAAAAACATAGGGCAAAAATCAGGACTGGTGTAAGTGGGTACAACATCCCGGGTCACAGCCTTCGTTCTGCCCCCATCAAAGAGCTGGAGGAACATGCTGCACAAAGTCTGGGGCTGGTGGAGGGCATGGCCCCGCCCCCAACAGGGGGAAACTGGGAGGCAGATGTACTCAAAGACCGTCTGTTTTCTGAGCTGCTCGGGGGCAAAGCGCTTGCTGCTCCATAAACAGGGCTCGTTGCAAAGCAGTGTTTGAGCTACTATTTATTGCCTGGTTTTTAAAATCAATTTCCCTGGTAAAGGAGAAATGGAAAGGAGGGTTACATTACGGGGGAGAGTTTGGGCTTTTTTATTTATTTTAAAATATCTAAACGCTTCATGAAACACAAAACATCATGAGTTTCTCCCATCTCTGGTTAGTCTCTTAAAGTAGCACAACTCTTTTCAGGAGCAAACAGGCTGCTTTTTCTTGTGAATGAAGAGCGTTCAAGAGGGAAAATATCCTGGACCAAATTTAGCTCTGGGGCATGCCCACTGAAGTCGTCAGATGAATTTGACACATGGTGTTTAATGTCTCTGTTCATTCAGCATTAGCACTTGGGAAAGCAGCTCTGTTCGCTAAGTACCCTCCGCATCATCTGGTGCTGTAAACAAAAACGTTTCGCTTTCCAGATCTCCTTGGCAGCTTTCAGGGTGCAGCCCTGCTTGCCATCATCTGCCAAAGCGTTGAATTAATCTATTAAGACTCACTGATAGGAGATGCTTGATTGGATATGTCCAGGTTCTTTCCCTCACTCTGACATAGGCTTGTTTATCTACGTGAGCTTGGCCAAATCATTTAACCTCTTGTGCCGGCTTCACTACATCAAAACACATTAGGTGTAATACTCATTAACTCACCGGGGCTCTGTGTGGTGTAATACGTTATTGTGTGAGCCTTTGAGATGTCTGGATGGAAGGTACTTTAGAAACATAGGCTAAGATTTTCAAAGGATCCTAAGAGAGTTAAGTATCAGAGGGGTAGCCGTGTTAGTCTGAATCTGTAAAAAGCAACAAAGGGTCCTGTGGCACCTTTGAGACTAACAGAAGTCTGTTAGTCTCAAAGGTGCCACAGGACCCTCTGTTGCTTTCTAAGAGAGTTAGACACCCCAGGCCCCCTGGAATGTTCAGGGCTACATTTTGATTGTTTCAAAGGCTAGAAGCCAGATTTTTAAAGGTCTGGAAAGCTATCAGGTTTTATTTACAGCAGCAGATGATGTGGAGGGTAATTAGAGAGCAGAGCTGCTTTCCCAAGCGCTAATGCTGAATGAACAAAGACATTAAGCATGATGTGTCAAATTCATCTTATGACTTCAGTGGGCCTACCGAGAGCTAAATTTGGTGTCTAACTCCCTTGAAATACCTTTAGAAATCTAGTCCATAGTCCCTAGGGCAGTGGCAATCTTACCATGGAGAATAAAGATGGGCTGAAGGTGGATTCGATATGGAGATCTCCTAGCACATTTCTCCTTATCATAGCTTTTCATTTTGAAAATGTGGAGTCTCTCGTGATTTAAAAAAAAAAATCTTCTAGTATTTGGGGATTATTAGTTTCAAGCTACTTTTCACTCTTCCTGCTGAGTTCAGTAGCCCTTTCGTATAGACTTGCAGCTTGCCTCTGCAGAGGGAGGGATGCGGTGATCAAATAGACCTTTTCAATCACCAACCGGTATGATACCATTACCGACCGCCTTTCTGTAAATTACTTCCTCCTCAGTCACTGCTTGCTTTGCGGGGGCCTTTTATCTGCATATTTGCTTTGCATGGCAGTGGGTGCTTCAGCCACCACTGCCAGGGTCTTGCTGATAATTCAACATCTGTATGTTCCGATCATGATAATATTCAAATCTCAATTGGCAGCTCAAGGAAAAGAAAGTACTGAAGAGAGGAGCACACAACACTCACTGGTTTCCATGCCAACGCTGCGTTCTGCATGCTCATTTACTGTTATATTTATTTAATTTTTTTCTAAACTAACATATTTTTGATAAAGTACATCGCAGCCGCTTCCCACACGCCAATTCCAAGAATGGCTTCTAAAATAGTTTGCTTAGGATCGCTATAAACAGTCCATACAAAACGTATTGAATCGAGCTGAACAAAAATTGGAATTTCTGTCCCATGGGAAATTCAGGTGTTTCAATATGTGTTTTTCAATTTGGAAATGGTGAAACATTTTTGTTTCAGCATTTTTGATCGCAGGTAAGTTGTTTGGTTG